AGATTCTGACCAGAACTTGGCTAGAGATCCTGGCTAGGCTGCTGATCAACTGAACGCTGTCTCTGTGTCATTCCTTCTTCACCGACTCCGTCCACACCTTTGGGGACCCCTGGACCTGCTGGGGCAGGACCCCAGCATATATGAAAGTTGTTTGGAGGGTAAATAAATCCTTTGGCCCTAGCCTGTTTGGCTTGGTGGATAGAGCGTTGGCCTAGGAACTGAAGGATCCCAAGTTTGATTCCCATCAAGGGCACATACCTCAGTTGCAGGTTCGCTCCCCAGCCCTGGTTGGGGCACATGCAGGAGGCCCAATCAATGTGTCTCTCTCATCTTTAATGTTTCTATCTCTCTCTCCCTCTCCCTTCTTCTCAGAAATTAATAAAAATATATTAAAAAATAAGTAAATAAATTGTTTTAATTATAAATTCATTTTTAGGATAGACTTGAATTTTATTTATCCTTGTGTTCGCTTGGAAAGCTATATTTTCCTAGGGATTTATTAATTTCATCAAAGTTGTAAATAGAATATATTTATTCATTCTATTCCTTATTATCTTTACTATATCTGTAGAACTTCAGGGATGTCCCATTTTTTCCCTTCATGTTGGAAATTTGTACCTTTGCCTTTCATTCATAGAGGCATACTACAGGCTCTATCAATTTTATTATTCTTTTCCAATAGTACGTTTTTTGTTTTCTTATTATTTCTATTGAACATTTGTTTTATACATCTCTGCATTTATACTTATTTATTTCAGTCCTTTTAATTCTGCATATTTTAGTTCTCATAAGACATTAAATTATGGCTTTATATGGTCAATATTTATTAATATTTACCCTTACTATCCTTTTTTATTTTCTTTAATTATTGTCCTGTGTTTCCATGGCTCTGTATAGTACTATTTTCTCCTTTCTGCAGAATTCCCTTTAGTATTTCTTTTAGTGCACACCTGCTACTGATGAATATTTTCAGTTTTATTGCTCTGAAAATATCTTAAATTTGCCTTCATTTTTTAAAATTTATTTTTTGCTAAGCCTCACTCAAGGATATTTTTTCATTGATTTTTAGAGAGAGTAGAAGGGAGATTGAGGGAGAGAGAGAGAGAGATTGATTGGTTGTCTTCTGCACACACTGGTTGTGAGGAATGAATCTGCAACCCAGATATGTGCCCTTGACCAGAAATCGAACTCTCAACTCTTTGATGTGCAGTCCAATGCTCTACTGCTGAGCCACACTGGCCAGGGCTGCATCCACTTTTGAAGAATAGTTTTAATTTGTGTAGAGTTCTATACTGGCATTATTTTCAGTTAGTACTTTTCAAATGTTGTTCTAGAAGTCTTGCAACTTCCATTGTTTTATCTCAGAACTCAATTATCAGTCTTCTGTTGCTCTTGCAAGTATAGTGCCTTTTTAATATAGTTATGCTAAAGATTTTCATTTGGTTTTAACAGTTTGACTATAGTGTGGTTAGGTGTAGTTTTAAAAATTTATTCTGATTTGGGTTTATAGGCTTGGATCTAAGCTTTCTTTGTTATCTTCCACTAGTTTTAAATAACTTAGTCTTTATTTATTAAAATGTTGTTTTGGAACCATTCTTGTACTTTTCTCTTTTGGGTACTTACAGTTCAAAATACACCCTGGCTGGGTAGCTCAGTCGGTTAGATATACCAAAGTTTTGAGTTCAATCTCCAGTCAGGGTACATAGAAGTAGCAACCAATGAATGTATAAATAAGTGGAACAACAGCCCTGGCTGGTGTGACTCAGTTGGTTGGGTATTATTACATGAACACAAAGGTTGCCAGTTTGATTCCTGGTCAGGGCACAGTGAGGTGGTACAGGAGAGAGCCAATTGATGTTTTGCTCTCACATCAGTGTTTCTCTCTCTCTCTCTCTCTTTCTCTCTCTCTCCCCCTTCCTCTCTCTCTAAAAAAAGGGGTTTTTTTTAGTCTTTAAATAATTGATGGTAGAAATTTTGTGGATATTTATATCAGGTCTTACACTTAGTAAGTCAGACAACAATTGATTGCAATCTTCAAATGCCTTACCTGGCTCCTATCTCTCTATGTCTCCTCCATATCAGCCAAGATCATCATCTTCACATCCATTCCCTCAGATTGTCACAATGCACCATTCTGCAACCATCTTACCTCCACTTCTTTTATATGTTAAACTAGTGGCCCGTTGCATGGAGATTCACACAATAGGCCTTCCTTCCCCTGGCTGCCGGCACTGGTTTTCCTCTAGCGCCCAGGACCCAGGCCTTTGGTCCAGCCACAGCAGCGAGGTTTGGCTTCTCTCGTATGGCTGCTCCCAGCCCCTGCTTTTTTTTTTCCAGCTCCTTGAGCAGAGCCCAGCAGGGTGGGCTTGGGGCCCCTCCTTGAGTGGAGCCCAGCCCCTCCTTGAGCAGAGCCCAGCCCCTCCCCTGGGCAACCTGCAGCGACATGGGAAGCTGGGCTTCTTCCATTGCCAGGCGCAACCCAAGCCTCCTTCTTGCTCCAGCTCCGTGGCCACCGCCATCTTCAGTCGTCTTCAGGTGTCGTAAGTGTTTCCCTCCACGTCCTACGTGGTTCAGGGTTCGGGTCTGGAAGGGGAGCCGCACACAAATGAAATAGAAAAGACACTAGATAATTTGGGAATATTGGGGGACCAGGCGGCAAGTCCAACTCAAGAGGAAGGACTTCCACTGTGCTCAGGTCTCACCAAGCTTTTATAGTGAGCAGGTGCAAGGACCTTGCCAGCTAACATCTGGCCCCCAACAGATCCCTCTTCTTTGTTTTTCAGGCGAAGTTCATGTTGCAGTGTCCGACAGTTTCTTATGTGTACATGTCAGCAGTAATATTTCAGTTCTGGATGGTGGACAAATGGTGGCAATGCAGGGCCGACCCTCTCTGGTTTGGCCCTGGGCAACCTGCAGCGACGCACAGCTGCTGACTGCTAGCATGGCCAAGTGTCGTCAGCATCTCCATCTCTGAACTGTCTCTCCTCTTGTCTTCATGGCTCGAGCATTCCTGAGAATTCCTCTCTGTTGCAGCAATCCACGTGGTCTTGAAGTTTTTTTCTGAAAATATATGAACATATTCTCGACTGAAGGTTAATAAAAAAATTTTTACTTAGGGTCCTTTTTATATTTGCCCAAATGATTTTCCTTTGGCTTGTTTTGACACCATGTGTGTTTTCCTGAGTGTCTTCCTGTTAGCATTATAAATGAAAATTTTTTCTAGATTTAATTTAGTTAAAGGATATTTTTCATTACATGGTATTCTTC